CAAATTAAAAACATCACAGAACTAGAAGAAATCTAATTGCTAAGGTTTTGAGAACTAAATATTTATGTAAAATATTTCAAAGACATTTTTTAGGTTCCATAGTTCTAAAAGTATTCAGTGCTAGTATTATTGAATCCTTTGCTCTTTAATTCAGGTGAAATGCAGGATTTGGTTTTAAGAGCCTTAATTATAAATAACACAGCAACTCTAGGGAGTTGCTTAGCCCTTTGATTTCTAGTTTGTGGGCAACAAGGAAGAATGTTGGGCCCTACAAGCTATGCTCTACTGCCTCCAGCCAATAGAGCAGGGTCGCTACCTCTAGTTTTATGTGATAGACTTTATAGTTGCTGTGTGTGAAGGTCCACGAGTAGTCTGGACTGATGAAGGTGACACTTTTTAAATTCTACCAAATAAAATGTTTTATCTGGATGAAGATTAGAAGTTTTCCATTCACACTGCTTGCAGTTTCCCAGTCTTTAACCACTGAATCTAACATCTCTAGAACAGAAGCAAATACCTCATAAATCACCTTCAGTGCCAAGTTACTAAGCAGACTAGGTTTTCTGCTGAATTCCCATGCACTGGAAATTCTCAAGTTATGAAGTTATAGAGTATAGCCAATCCTTGTTTTATTTGTCCTAAAATAGCCTTCATGCTTTCAATATCATTGCATTGATTTTTTTTTTATTGTGGTGAAAATATACACAATGAAAGATACAGCAATTCAACAATTTCTGCATGTGTAATTAAGTGACATTGATTGCATTCTTCAAATTGTGCAACCATTCTCGATATCTTTTTCTGAATTATCCCACCACCGGGAAATACATTCAATGCACCCTAAGCAAAATCTCCCTCTTTCCCCTTCCCTCCCACCTCTGTTAACCACCCATAATTTTTGGTTTCTCTCTCTCTATTTGCTTATTTCATGTAAGTTAGATCATTAGTATTTGTCCTTTTGTGGCTGACATTTTGCTCAGCCTAATGTTTTCTAGGTTCATCTATGTTGTGGCATGCATCAGGACTTGGTTCCTCTTTACGGCTGATGCATTGAATTTTAAGTATTAGACTCTAGTATTTGATATATAGATGACTTGTAAAGATCATAAGCTTCTAGGGGAAAAAGTGCTATTTACATCTGTATGCTCAATGCTTGTCCTTGTAAGGTCTTATAGTTTATGGGCATTCTTTTACTACGTGCCTCTTGGTGGATTTAGTGTCAAATCAATCAGTTGTGTGCCATATGGATATTGTCTTTCTTTTTGCCACACAGATAATGCACTTTATCATGCCCTTAGCCATGTCAAATATTTCGTAGTATCTGGATTATACTTCTGCATGCGAACTCATTCATTGGTTTAAAATGATTTTGGGCTATGTATATTTTCACCAAAAAAAAAAAGGTCGAGAAGAGAGAGGGTTGACATGTCGTGGGGTTGTTAACCAGTGTCATAAAACAGTATGTGTACTACTGTTTAATGAGAAATTATTTGTTCTGTAAACCTTCACCTGAAGTACAATTAAAAAAAAAAAAAGTAGAAGGTTTAGGTGAGCTGACTTGTGTATCCTGTAAGTGTACTGACGTAGCGTGGGGGAAAAAATTACCTTAGAGCATTTATTATTTACCTTTTCGTCTTCCATCTAGTGCAAGAGATTTTCAGAAAATCTAGCTCCCAGTATTTTTCCCCCATCCTTTCTCTTTGGAGTCTGCTGCTATAATTAAACCGCAAAACTAGTTACAGAAGAACTTCAGAGAGTATGGAAATCCAATGCTATTCTACCAGGAAATAATACTTGTATGTCTGAAAGTTCCTGAACATTCCTCTAAAGCAGCCCTCTCATTTTTACAGCTCTCTTCCAGCATTTTCCAAAACCTCGCCTGTTGTAGAACTTCATAGCTGCAACCACAACATGTTTTGTGATCAGTTTGAAATTAATCTCTTTTAAAAAACTGTTGACCTAGAGTAAATAAATAAATAAACGCTGAAGAGAAAAAAAAAAAATGATTGTGCAGGTTGTTCTCCCCCCTCCCTCACCCAGGGTTATAGGTGGTAGATCTTAAAGTGGTTCAGTGTTTGAATCTACTATTTATATTCTCTTTTTAAAATATCATTTTGTCTTATTAGCATCATTAAAAAAAAAACTTTACAGTCACCTCTTGGAGATTATTTTGAGCAAATCCTTTTTTAATGTTTTGGCTGACATAGTTTTCCTATTTTATTTAAATTTCAAATGTTGAAAAATGTAAAAGTCACTCAAAATCCTATCAGTTATTTTTGAATTATGTAAAATAAGAAGCAAATGATCCTCTATGCAGCCATCAACCCATTTCCTTAAAGGTAATTACTGCTATCAATTTGATGCATGTCTTTCTTGAATTTTTCCTAAATTTACTGTATATAAATATATAAATTTAAAATATATAGCACAACATATTATGTCATATTTATATGCAATTTAACTATATCCCTGGACATCAATATTGTGTGTGTGTGTGTGACATACACATCATAAAATAGAATTATGGTGTATATGTCTGTTTTCAACTTATTTGTTTCTGCTTAACAGTATATAATGAACATCTTTCTGGTTAATACATGTACATTTATCTTATTCCTTTTTAATGAATGCATAGAGTTCCACTGTGTTTAAATGCTATATGTTATCCCACAACTCCTCTCTTGATGCATTCTTACTTCTATTTTCTTTGTTTTCAATCAGTGTTGAAACAAATATAATTGTACATATATCTTCAAGCATTAAAGTTACTACTACTTCTGTAGGATGTATTCTTAGAAGTACAATTGCTAGATTTATGGATATATGTATTTTAATTTTCATAAATACTGCCTGCTTCATTTTCATGAATATTTTAAAAAGAAAACTTACTATACTATGCTATTTCTGATCATTTTTTACAAGTCACAGAGGGTGGCATTGCTTTGAAAACCATTACTGATAGCTGGACCAAGTCAGTTAAGGTGGTATTACTATAGCAGTAACCCCATATATGATTTATATGTCCATAGGGCAACAAGTGTATTTCTGTATAAATATTCGTATATACATGCAAAGACTTTCATTACGTCTACCCTAAACCAAATTCAGTCAGCAACAAAGAGATGGATTTTGAGATTAGATAGACACAACCCATAAGTGATATAGTAACGGAATGTTTTAGTTATACAGACACGGCCATAAAACCCTAGATGTGAAAAACTCTAGTAACAGTTTGCTGTTAACAGGACTCCATCAATCTATTTGGGCCACTACTTCATTTTGTATAACTACTGTTGTTAAGGAGCTCCACAATAGACAGTATTTTAGTTATATTTGCTGATATACAGTAACGAGTGGAAATATTCTGTCTATGAATTTAAATAACAAAGTACTCTTCTGATCTTTTTAATTTTTGAGGCAAAGGTAAGTCTATGTAGGCTGCTCAATTCCAACTCAAACTCATGCCATCGAGTCGATTCCAAGAAGTGGCTAGTGGATTCGAACTGCTGACCTTTTGGTTAGTAGCCGAACGCTTAACGACTGGGCCACCAGGGCTCTTCCAACTCATAGTGACCCTATATATAGGCTGGATCATCCAAATATGTGGCTTCCTTCCACATGTTTCACATCACAGTGAAGTGATTCTATGACTTTGTGGAAAGCCATATGTACTAGTTTCCTAGGGCTGTCGTAAAATATTACTACAAACTGGGTGGGTGGCTTAAAACAACAGACATGTGTTCTCTCACAGTTCTGGAGGCTGGAAGTCCAAATTCGGGACGTCAGCAGGCTCATGCTCTTTCTGAAGGCTCTAAGGGAAGATTCTTCCCTTGTTTCTTCCAGCTTTTGGTAGCTCCAGATGTTCCTTGGCCTGTGACCAATATCTGCCTCCGTGCTTACACGGCTTTCTTCCCTGTGTGTCTCTCCTTGTCTCTTCTCCACTTCTTGCAAGGACACCAGTCATAAAGAGATTAGTGCCCACCCTAATGACCTCATATTAACTAACTTCCTCTGCAATGACTGTATTTCCAAATAAGGTAACATTCACAGGTACCAAGGGTTAGCACTAGAACATACCTTTTGGGGGGACAGAATTCAACCCATAACATCATAGAAACTGAGTATATTCTATTAAAAACAACAACGACAAAACCTCTCTATAATACCTGCCAAGGGAGATTTCGTGATTCAAATTTTATGAGAGACTGATAATAGGAAGGTTTGTCCAGGTTCATACCCTTCCTTATCTTAATCATTTTCTTAGTTCCCAGACTGAAATAACAGAGAATGGAAATAATATGTTTCAAGGGCAAATAACAGAGTTCAGACCAGAATCATTTTTATAGTAGAGCCATACCCTATGGTTTAAAATAGTCTGAAAGATAGACTGTAGAATGTTATTGCTGAAAGATTTTTAATATCTCCCTTTCTTGCGATTGGTAATGGAAACTTGTGTTTTGTTAGATAATGCTGCTGTTCTCTTTTGACTTTCTAATTCTTGTGTAATTTTTATGGTATGTGTATACGTATATACATAAGAATTCGGGTGTGTGTATTATATATTCATGCATGATATTCATGTTTTCTGCATTTCCCTTTCACAAATGAGAAATCTGTTTATAAATACTTGATGAGAAATACTGAAAGGATGTTTAGATGAAAGGGAAGGCCAATAAATAAACAGATAAATAGATAAAGAAACACACAAATGAGAAAAAGAGAAACAGAGGCAATCTGAGCCAGAAAAGGGACTTGTGGACATTTACTACTAGTTACTCAAAATTCCAGGATGTTTGCATGCACAGATTTTCATAGTCTGTTAATCCCAGGTAAATTTCATTAGCATTTAATTTCCTTTTTTTGTGATTCTTCACAAACCTATTTATTGACATGAGGTCATTCTAAAGAACTTTGCTGAGAACATAAATGCATATTTAATATGTGATGCTGTGATGACTATGCCAGACATTCCACCACTGTGAGATTTCTTTGTTTTTCAGAGTCTGCCCTTAAAGAAGATTCCATGCAAAGCCAGTGCACCCTCGGGCTCTTTTTTCGCCCGAGACAATACAGCAAATTTCTTATCCTGGTGCCGAGATTTAGGTGTGGATGAAACATGTCTATTTGAATCGGAAGGTTTGGGTATGTATTTCCTTCATAATTTTAGCTGATAAAGCATTAGAATTATTATTTGTTTTCATCAGTATAACTATCAAAACTAACTTTTTCTGTATGATGCTGTTTTACCAATTGTTAGCTTAAAAAAAATCTGAATTTGTTGTAAACTTGCAGGCTTGTTGTAAAGTTGACCCTTTGAAAGTGTAAAAACGTTTGCCCTCTTACTGTTGGTCACACTGTGAATAAAAGAATAGGAACAGAAATAGGACAACTTATTCCAAACTAAAAATGAGGGCCATTAATGCAAGTCGGAGGGATATTTGGAAAACCTACGGAAACATTTTACACCAGCCTCTGCCTTTGATTAGAAGGGTGGCAATATATGCTGCAGCCATAGAGAGCACTACTGCGTTTTCATCTTTGCAAAAACATGGAAACACCATCTTCTGTGAGGTCTGTCTTGTTGAAACTACAGAATTATTTGGTTATCTATTTAGTCATTTTCTAGTGTGTTAAAAATCAGTCAAGCATGAGGTTGAAATAATAGAAGATGATGGAAAAAAAGATACCTAATGCCTAGACCTACCCAGAAAATTATATATTTTTTTCTGATTGAATTTTTGCAAGTCTACTTTCAGACTGTAGAGTGAGGAAACATACACTGGGTTGTTCAGTTTTGACATTACTTGATATCCTAGGGTTGAACGTTCAAACCTCCTACGTAGGCTCCATTCCCTCACCCTTCCATCCTTCACCCTCCACCCAGCCACCCCTCTACAACTCCAATATGGAGAATATTTGAATTAAAATCCCGTTTTAGCAAACTGGAACCCAGTGAAGAAAGAGGAAGTCTAGGGAAAAGAAAGCTTTAGTTCTTTTGCCTGAGACTTTAAAAAATCAATTTACAAAATCACATAATACCAGATGTTAACATCAAAGTAAGCTGACCATCCTTCAGGGAGAATAAGTATACAAATTATCTTCCAAACATTCAGAGTACAGTTCACCCATAGACTTGACAAAACGATATTCCCTTGCTGAACCTAGGAAATTGATGGTAACAACTGAAATCTTACTCATTTGAGATGCTGAAGGAAATTTGTATGTGTTGTAAGAGAAATTGATATGATATGGAAAATACTGCCATCAAATTTCTGAGAATTCCCTCAGCAGAGAAGCAAATAATGTGAATTTAGACTGGGAGACCATTTTACCTGAATGGAAAAATAAACCAAATTAATTGTATAGTAGTAAGCTATATACATACAGTAATGTGTTCCTTAAATGTTTGTTATATAAATGGGCTTTGTTCTTACCATTTCTTCAAATAAAAGTAAAACAAATTTGATAGAAGACAGATAACACATGTATATAATGGCATTTTTTTTTTTTTTTAGGCCAGTGGTAGTTTTATTGCCAGATTTTAACTTTCACTTTTGTAGGAACTATGTGAGTGGGGGATTATAGGAAGAGAGTGTGGAGAAATTATTGGAGGTAAAACACATGAAAGATTTAGTAAATCTCCTTTGGTTTATACAGCAATATAATAAAATCTTAATCACAGGAATTACACTTAGCACATGTGGACAATTAACATTGTGATTTACAATTCTGGAGTGCCACTGCCTTTGCCAAAGAACTGCCACATGGGGAATCTGCTTTATTGTTAGTTAGTTTGTTCATTCAACAGGTACTCGTTAAAAAGCTTTTTTTTTTTTTTCGGTGAGCACTCCAAGCCAAGTGCATTACTAGGAGCTGTGAATATAAATATGATCTTGCTCTCAATTTGCTCACTGTCCATCAGTTCTTTTTGTTACTTGAACTAATAATAAAACTTTCAGCTGGATTCCAAGAAGCAGCAATCTAATACCAAATTTTCTCTAGAGTAAATATCATTATATCTCAAGGCTTTAGTGTTATTGAATGTGCAAATCATTTACCTTCATGGCTTTTGAAAACATTCAGCTAATAAATAATACATCTTATCCTGAAACAATAAAGCCTAAAGCAAGCTATGTAATAATGACGTTTATATGTAAATACCTACTCCATAGCATATAAAATTATGCCAGGAAGAATTTTGAGATGGCCTAGTTCTTCACCTGTTTTGAGAAAAAAAAAAAACTGGCATTATGAAAAGTCATTATGCTTATACATAATAACTATAGATTATTTTGTAAAAAAAAATACTTTGATTATGATCATTCTCTAAATTATAACTCAGCTTATAACTTGCAAGCAATTAAAATGTACTTTAATGTAAGAAGGCCTGATAAGACAGAGTTTTCAAGGTTATAAAAATTAAAAAAAAAATTTTAGTCCTATGGGTATCAATCTGATTCAAAGAGGTTTTCTGTTTTGCTATTCAGTGAAAAAATAAATTTGAAATTTCTGCTGCTTAGAATAGGACATAATAAGCCCTGAGGAGACAGAAGAAGGGGGCCAATATTATAACGTTGGCTTTAGGATTATTCAGAGAAAGGAAACATCTGTGCCCGTAGGTGTTAATGATAATCAAGAGGAGGGACAATGAGAAATTCCATTTCCCCAAGTGGAATCCTTTCTCATCGGATTTTTTTTTTTAATTCACTGTGGGTGAGGAAGCAACTGAGCCCCTGCTGATAGCCTTGGACTCTGTACTTGCAGAATTGACTTTCTTGCAACAATAACACTGTGTACTCTGCTTGATGTCTTTTCACACTTCACTTTTGAAAGAGAATTTAGGGCAAGAGTTTTTTTTCTTTTTCTTTTTCCTACCTCAAGATTTCATTTCAGTAGCGCACAAGATGAAGAGCATCCTTTGTGTCCTAGTGTTTTGAACAGCAAATAAAATGAAAAGATGCCCTGATGAAGGGGAAAAATCTGTTTGAATGAACGATAAAGTAGATCACTGTACTGAGTGTGTATCAAGAGGCTTCTGTTTTTAGCTGTTCAAAAGGTCGTTGCCTGTATAAAGCATCCTTATCTTCGTGGCAACTGATATTCCACCCTCTGTGGCAGAGCTTTCTGGTACAAAGATTTGTGAGTGAATCTTGATTTACAACTCATTCCATCTGCTCCCTTTGCACAATAGCTAATGACAAGAAATCACAGAGGGTTAGGGAAGGTGTTGGGATGACCTGTAAAGTATGGACAGCAATTTATTTTCTTATGCATCTCTTGTGTTTCTTGTCTTTTTGATGCATGTTAGATAACTTCCTACGCCACCTGATAACGATCACATACAGCACATAACCCTGCAATTTTTCTTCTGTGGACTTCTTGAGAGAGAATTTTCCTCTGTTAAATGTCAGTTGTTATACTATAAGTTTACTATAGTCTGAATAGAAATGAAAATATAAGTGTTTCAAAAATGAACCAGTAGAAAAACGGACAAAGATCATGAACAGACAATTCATGATTCTAGAAAGCCAATAAAGATATTAAAAATAAATTGGATACCTTAGGAATAATATAAATGCAAATGAAAATTATTACATACCTTTTTGTCATTTGCTAAGTAAGCAAAAATTGAGAAAATTGTATATTTAGTGTTGGTGAGGATGTGGGACAATAGGATCTTCTATACATTACTGAAGAAAAGTGGAAATTGGAATGCCTTCTTTGAAGGGCAATTTGACATTATATATCAAAATCCTCAGAAGTGTTCATATCCTTTGATCCACTTCTAAAAGTTTATCTGAAGGAAATAAATAGAGATAGGCGCAAATATTAATGCACAAAGATGTCGAATAAAATGTTTTTCTAACAGTAAATAAAATGGAAATCAACTGAATCGATGACATTTGGAGGTAGCTTTTGCAAATTATACTCATTATAGACACCAAACAAAAATAATATTCTTGAAAACTATTTAAGAATATGGGGCAATTATTTTATACTGTGAATATGAGGTAACACATTTATATCTAGTATAAAATAACAAAAAATTCAGAGTCAGAAATTGAAGGACAAATAAACAGCAATTAAGTCACAAGTGCTACTCATTTTCTTCTTCAATTATCTATTTAGCAAACTTTAGGAAGTAAACAAGCATGGCCTATAATCTTAAAAATGAACAATTAATTTTATTTATAAAGATGTAATGTAGACAAATTTGCATAGAAAAGTATTTATTGACATAAATTTTTACACATCAGCATAATATAAGAATTTTTTCACATTGTTGAAATTAAACTGACATTTCCAGTGGTTATAGAATTGTGTGCTGCTGTAGTAACAGATGACATAGATTATTGCATGTACCACTGAGCATACTCTAACCTTAAGGATCTGCATGTAATGCCCACCCCCTACTCCTGCTGTTCAAACCAGGCTGGCATACAAATTCATGACTAGAGGGGATTTTCTTTTTCACGTCTCTGATTTATTAAGAATAATAAGTAGTTTCATTAGATTCCTTAATGTTTAGGAGTGTGCTTTACGTTAAAAAGATGAATGTTTTCTTTAATTTAAAAGTATGCAATTTATCACTCTAATGACAAAATATTCCCCCAATAATTCTTTTAAAAGAAATGAATATTCTTTTAACTGTGGAGTAAAGAAAAGAAAAATGTTTAAAAGGCTCTATGTATGAAAGTATTTCTGTTTTCAATGTCACAGAGATTTGAAAGTTGTTAGAATGCGTTAGTCAATAATCTTCCTAACAGTAAATTTAATAATTTCTAGAAGATTAACTATTTCTAAAGTATTTAAATAAACTGTTTCCTTCCATTAATGATATTTTTATATTGGAGTATATTATAAAATTTGCATTGTCAAGGTAATGTAATTTTTTTTCCAGAAGCTTGTTTGTTTTGCTTTCTTTGGCTGTATTCTGGTGAGCTTGGGAAATGGAAGAAAGGGAAGATGGGGTAAACTTGAAAAATACACAATTTTTGGCTTGCTGTAATTGTGTCAATATCATTATGTTATTGGATGATTATAGGATTTGGAGGCCAGTGACTGTTCTTCACCTGTTTCTCTGAGAAAAGCATCTACTCAGCAAAAAAGGGTTTGCTGTATGCTGTGTTAGCATGTCAATG